ATACAGTTGTCATTCAGTGTCCATGGGGATTGGTTCCAGGGCCCCCCCCCCCCGAATACCAGAATTGATGAATACTGGTATAAATAAAAATTGGTCCCTGATATAAAAGTGACAAAGTATTTGCATATAATCTATACACATCCTCCATATTCTTTAAATCATCTCAAGATTACTTACAATACCTCATACAATGTAAATGCTATGTAAATAGTTGTTATACTGTATTATTTTTGATTTGCATTATTTTTTATTGTTATATTGTCATTATTTATTTATTTACTTATTTATTTTTAGAATATTTACAATCTGTGGTTAGTTGAACCTATGGAGGTAAAATCTGCAGATGCCTAGAGCCGACTGTATATCACAGGCTGCTGTGGACACTGGTACTTTCTTATGAGTATGGTTACAAATTAACCATCAGTTAATGTTATTGCTAGCCAGATACCGTAAAGTTTAAGGACAAACCATTTGTAAATTTTTGATCACCTTGATAATAGTTATCTACAAAATGAGAAAATAAATTAAAATATGTTTGAATTTTATAAAGTCTCTGGTTGCAAAGCTTTCCTAACACCATATTATAACAGTTCTAATCCTCATGTATTTAATGTTACCTCACTCCACTCACTAGTAGCCCAAGTGGGACAGGAAAATTCATTGCAGATCTCTATCGTCACTTGGGAAAGCTCTTGGCATTCTCTGTCAGCAACACGGTGGCCAAAGTTATTTATACAATATGATTCTCGAGACTTTTCCCCTCCTCCACAACTCTTTGAACACTGATTTAGAAAAAGAAAAAATGTGAATAATGGAAAAAAATCGCATTTTTAACAATATATACTGTAGAGTAACACAAATATTTTATTAGAAAACATATTTTTTATTAAGCAATCACTTTTATTGTACCTGGGACCACTCTGAATAATGCCATCTTGTTAAGACACAGTCACCATGACATGGTTCTCGGGTAGTAGGTTTAAGTTGGTCACCACAGTAGTGGTCGTCTACTGGAACAGTGTGTCCTTTATGAATGGAATACTTCATACAGTGGATATCCAAGGTCCTATATCCTTGACCACAATGTGATGAACATTCACTTTTGCCAATGATATGCCACCTAGGAAAAAAGATGTTATTACACTTAGGAAGCATGCTAATTAACACAACTGAAAAATGTATTCAGAGAAACTCATGTATATGATGCAATTTGTTAATTAACACAACTGAAAAATGTATTCAGAGAAACTCATGTATACGATGCAATTTTAAAAATTCTAAGACTTGATGGACAAGCCACCATAAAAATGGAGCCAGTCTGGTTAAAGCTGGAGACAGGGAGCCAGCACTATACTTATCGACCTTACCATGGCGTTTGGTGACTGCTATGTTCAAGGAACCCCAAGCTTCCCCAAAAACCTTGGAAGACAACTGGTTTAGACCAAGATTACCCAATTAGTTATTGGCAGATTTAAGACTATAACTGAATATATCTGACTCCCAAACAGGTAGTCTCCCCTAATGAAGCCCTCCAAAGTACTTTAATATGAGGAGGAAATGTCTGGGAATCTGACTACATCAATAAAGGTAATGCCTTTAAGAGTTGATAAATTAGTTTTGTAAAGCATATCACACTTTCTAATTAATTCATGTAATTTGTATTTAGACATGTTTTCAGGGAAAACGTTTTTTCCATCAGTAAAAAATGCTAGTTTTAGCCAAATTATCTCAATTGTCTAGCAACCTAACAGACAATGTGAGTGCACCAGTAAAACAAAGCACAGATTGCACAAAGTTCATTTCCATCCCCAATAGCATCTCAAGGATTTCACTGTGCTTCACTCCACTGCAATGGCAGTGGATGCAACTTATACAGGCAGCTCCACCACTAGGCTTTTACTATATGTCTTCAGACACATCATAAATGTATAGAAATTCTCATCTTTGCTGAATGAAAGAGGTTCTGGCTATCCCTGAAAATTAAACGTCACCTGCTACAATGCAAAAAAGATTTGAAAGATGGGATTATTGTCCTTGGCTTCACTCCAAGACCAATCATACACACACAAAAAACCCAAATGACAAGAAATTTGGGTTAGAAGTGCAAACTTCCCTGACATGATCTAGGATAAAATAACTGACAATAGAGCATGAAAATCTATTTATTCTCCAATACTCTAACTTTAGAAATTTATTGATTCATTAATTCAATGGGAATTATAGAATCATGCTAAAAAATTTATTATTTCAGATGTTTAAGTTATTGATTTTCAGATTAGAATTTACCTGTATTTATTTTATAGACAAAATTGCCTCCATTTCCTACACAAAATGTTGAGGTCTATATACTGGCATTCAGCAAACAGTATGAATTAAAATTCAAACCAATTACTGAGTTTCATCATAAATTAGTGAGCCTGAAATTTTATAATGGCAGGGTCAGGCAATGGGTTTTAATTACAGGTCCACTCTGTGTCAGGCACCATGCCAGATGTTTTCATCTTAGCTCACTCATTAGTTTTAATCTGGTTACATTATACATTATATCTCTTTTACCTTAGTTCGATGGCAGGGGCAGGCAATGGGTTTTAATTACAGGTCCACTCTGTGTCAGGCACCATGCCAGATGTTTTCATTTTAGCTCACTCATTAGTTTTAATCTGGTTACATTATACATTATATCTCTTTTACCTTAGTTCACAGTCTGTATTGCACCTTTCAGTCACAAACAATGGAAGTGGCAAATGGTCACATCTTTGATCAGATACTACCATATGATCACTCTTACGTATGCAGGTCATTTTTCTTCTATGAAGACCTTGGTTAAAGTCAAATGAAAATTTAAAATAAAAGCAATATTCATATAAGTAGATGTTTCATAATTATTTAATTCTGCTAACAGCTTAAAGGATTCAGCTAAGCAAGCAAAAATATCCAACACAACATACAGAGTATGTTAGTATTAGTCTAGTCAAGAATGACTTTGTATAATAAGGTGTATCCTGAGCAGTTAAGGAGTTTGCTTAATGAAGAGACATAAGAAAGACAGGTACGGTGTAGAAAGAAATTTCATTAAAGCTGGATAGAGTGGTTATCAGTGGAGAATTGAGTGGCTAGGTCAGCACTGATGCTACATGGTCCGGTACGTCATTGTTTCCATTATTTGCTTACCTTTCCACCCTAAGAGAATTGCACATCACTACTTGCTACTTCCCTGTCCATTGACATCATGCTTATGCCACTGACTGCGAGGGAATGTAACCCACTCCAGTTCTAACCAGCTCTCTTTCCCTTTTCCTCTACCTCCAGAACAGCATTTCCCAGATAGGGCTGATCTTCAGCCTGGAATCATGAATGGAAAAGGCATGGACAGACAATAAAAAGATCAGTAGTTGTCAAGGGTTGTGAGGGAGGGAGGGTGGGATGAAGAGAAACTGCACAGGAAAAGTACTGGGATACTGTAATGATGGATATATGTCATCACACATTTGTCAAAACCCAAAGAATTTACAACACAAGAGTGAACCCTAGTGTAAACTATGGACTTTAAAAAGTACTGGGATACTGTAATGATGGATATATGTCATCACACTTTGTCAAAACCCAAAGAATTTACAACACAAGAGTGAACCCTAGTGTAAACTATGGACTTTAGTCCATAATAACACATCAAAATTGGCTCATCAATTGTACAAATGTGCCACACTGATGCAAGATGTTAATAAAAGAGGAATAAGCTGAGGAATTGAGGGGAGGTGGGAAAGGGGGGGAATATGTGAACTTTCTGTACTTTCTGCTCAATTTTTCAATAAACCTAAAATTGCTCTAAAAAATAAAGTTTATAAATTTTTAAAAATGACATGGATGAAGCCACTAAGTTGGAGTAGAGCCATAGCCAATTAGCAGCAAAACCATGGTATGAGCAAGAAATAAACCTTTGTTGTTCTAAGCCACTGAGATTGGCATTTGTTTGCATGCGGCATAATCACAGCAAAAGCAAACTAAGAGAAGTGGTCATGACCGCCACAGTGGTCTGAACTTCACACTTTCTGCAATGAGAAGACAGTAAAGAGTTTAAGCAGTCAGTGATACGATCAAATTTCCGTTTCATCAAAGTTCAACTTCGTACTTCCAGTTAACTAAATATGAACACATATGTTTACCTCTGCTCCTACTAAATACCCTTCGAAATAATGGTAAAGCACTGTGAAAAGGCATAAAACTAAAAGAACAAAAATAAAAAGAAAGGAAACACAGTAGGCAAGAAAAGGAAATTCTGAATGTGAAAGTGGATGGAAATAAGTATTTAAGAGAGCCAAGGAAGATGAAACTTAAGCCCATGAAGACGAAAGTGAAGGAGAAGCAAACCATTCATGCCACAGAATCCAGGAAAAGCCCAGGAACTGAAAACACCAGGGTCCTCTGAAGAGGTGAATGTGTGAGGGACAGACCTGAAAAAATGGAGAACTCAACGAAAAGTATCTCTGAAAAATGGATGGACCACTACCCTTCTAGCTGAGAGCAGCGCTGTCCAACAAAAAGAGAATGTCAGCCACTTACATAATTTTACATTTTCTCATAGTCTCAGTAAAAAGTAAAAAGATACAGGTGAAATTAATTTTAATAACATTTATCCTTAACTCCAAATATCCAAAATATAACGTCAACATGACATAAAAATTAAAATTATTAACAATATATTTTACATTCTTTTTCATACTAAGTCTTCAAAATCCAGAGTGTACTTCACACTGATAGCACATTCCAATGGACTAGCCACATGTAGCTAGGGGCTACCATGTTGGACAGCATAACTCTAGAGAAGGTGAACTTGAGGGCACAAGACACTGTGGGGAAGTCAGGGATGCACCATACTGAAATAGGGTGACCAAGTAAAAGTCTTCATACTGAATTATGAGATCCCAGCCCACTGGGCTCTCTACTTCCCACTAGTTCCAAGCCAACTTCTATTGTTCTCTATCCTCTATGTGACCATCATAATGGGAGAATTCCTCTCTCGGGGGACTGTTTAACCCAAGAAAATAGATAAGCTGACAATGAC